CCGTTTCCCTTTTCACGCCGATCGCGATCCCTCGATACTTTTTCCCTTTTTACTTTCTTTTCTTTACGAGCCACGACAGAGATCCCGCTTTTAGACGACCGAGCCAGATAAGCCGGATGCTTGTTGGCTCGCACGAGGAGAGAAGCGGAGGTTAAAGCGCCGATAAACCGGGCTTACCGCGGTGACGCGCGTGCTTTTGCCTCGTAACTTCTTTTTCTCTATTTTCTCGTTTGCCATTCTGCACGAAGAATCGCGACCAAGCCTTGTCCACGTCGCAATTTCTCTGTAACTTGTAGCTCGCTGTTAACAGATTTTTGTAGAACATTTTCTAGAACAAGAGGCTTCGGTACCGTGGTAATTGAAAAGAAATTTATTGCATAGGTCTGTCGTCTACAGACATGAATAAAAGAATCCTTAAAATTGTCACTTGTGAATGCATGAATATTATTTGATTATAACATACGAAACGCTTATTTGAATGCTTTAGTTTTTACGATACAATGTACATAACAACAAGTATATCATTTGCCTGCACTATATTCGCACTGTATTATTTAAGAAAATTGAACAAACATATTTTTATCATTTTCCACGTGTACTTATATTTTCCTTACATTTACCATAAATAAATTTTTACACAAAACATTTTTTCACAATACTACCGGAATCAGCTCAAATATTATGGTGACTGTATGTTCACTATAATCCTAAAAATGAAACGTATATGTTCCTATAACGTTCCACTTATATTAATCTTTCTCTTACATTTACTTCACCTTCTTCCCTCTATTCCGGCAAACTAATAAACGCGGCAAACTAATAAATACCGCAACGCGTTGCCCTGAGATCCATAAATGAAAGGACGCGAATAATTTTGCAACAGCAATATTAAAATTGTCCTGACTCGTCTCCCCACGGATCTTTCGTTGAATTACGCTTTATTATCCCTGGCGGGAATCTTAATTAATCGGGCTTTATCGCGCGCCTTTTACAAGTTCCGAACTTTATCTCGTTTATCGCGTCGCGAATCATCACGTAAAGTTCACTTCCTGTTTAGGAGAGCGTTAACCCTTCGACCAGCTACAGTGTTGATAATGTAGTGGTGTGTGGCGTGTATTTCGTGTTTCTACGAAGATACGAGATTGTAGGCGTACGAAGAGACGAAGAGACAAGCTCGTGGGATACTTCATTTTGTTCTAATAGTCGTATCGATTAAACTTGGAGATTAGACTAGAGCTTCTCGGGAGCTCTGCATCAACAATTTCCTGTCCCAGCTAGCGCACTTCTTCCAGTTCGGGGCAAACGTTTCCCGTTTCGCGCGATTTCTTCTCGTCGATGATATAATTGGATTATTGGGAAATTGATCGTGATATCACGTTGAACAGATACCGTAATTTGCATAATTTGTGTATGTTTTCTTATGAAATGTATGCTGATACTTTGTGCGATATAATTGTTTTTATGGACGAGCGGTATGTTTTAATGAAATTTTTTATTTCATTTGACGTTTCTTATATTATATGTAAGTACCATTTCTGAGTATTTTTATACGCTGTTATGTAAGTACTGCCAATTAAATCTGTTCCATTTAATCTATGCTCCTTCTGCGTCCAATTAAAAATGATCATATCATATCTTATAAAGCGTATCTTTTTGTTTCAACGATAAGAAGGAAATGCTCTTATTATATCATTATAATCGGTTAAAATTGAGTTTCTGCTTGTTATGCCACGTTTTATAATACTTTGCGTTTTATTCATACTTTTAAATTGTTAATAGTTGATTAATTAATAATGATATTATTTAATAACCTGATAAACTAATTTTGCTTTCATTTTACCTATAGATATATATACGTACAAGTATTTTCCAAAAAATTGTTGTATATTCTAATTGTAGAATTTTTATATGTCTTATATTACAAATATTTAATATCTTCGTATTTCTAATTACTTTCTATCTGCTTGTTTATTACTCTATAGTTCGTGAAAACTTCTCGTAATCTGCCCAACTACTCACATTTCTAAGAAAACTGAAAACGAGCTTCCTTAATTCATCCAAGCTTCTTATCTCTTACGCTGTTCCAAATTACGGTATAATGTAATAAAAATGTGAAACTTTGCCTCATTAGAAATCCATCATCCTTATCGCGTCGTACACGTATACAAAGACTGCGATCTAAAAATAAAAGAATTTGTTTCGCACGAATGCAAAACTCTCGAAACTACCCTTTCGTCTAAATTTCTTACATTTGGCGCAATTATTCGGATTTCCAAGAGTGAGGAAATAAAATAGTATTAAACCGATTCCAATTAATCCACTTCTCGCGTCTAATCCATCCCACTAAGTACCTCGCATTTCCGTTACTCAGCGGCGAAAAGCTCTTTCAAAAGCTTAGCGAAACCCTTTGTCGTCTAAATCACATCCAGCTACTTATCAGTCGCGCAGCATTCGAAATTACCAAAGTGGCATAATAAAAATGTAAATTTCCGGTCATTGGCCTGTCAAAGATTCGCACTGAGAAGTATGAAACGTCTGAATTTACTCGCGTGATAACCTGCACGCGTGCGTGCGTGCAATTAGACTTCAGAGAGTCGGTCACGACAAACGCGTCTCGACGCCGGCGCCGCGGCGCCTTCCTTCTACCCGGCGATATCAACATTCCACGCTTGGCACGCGCTGGAATTCTTTATGGTCCCCACGGCAGCGGCACGAAAGAAAGAGAGGCCACACCCTTGGCGAGTGGTCGTTAAGTATAAAACACGAGGAAAAAGAGAAGAAAGAAGGCGATTTAGGGCACGAAAAAAAAAAGAACTTCCAAGATATCTTGCGACTACTAAGTTTTACGCTAAAGCTTCAAATTTATGTAATTTTTGTTTCGTTAAAGTAATTTCAACTTTTGTTATAACTAGACTGAGGATGTTTATGCGCTTTTGGGAAATTTAAAATTGCAACAATTCGCAGAATGCGTAATATTTAATATAAATATTTGAGATGGACAAAGTAGGATACTTTTTGTAATGTTTGGTACGTGAGAGAAAAGTTTTTATGTAGGTTCCGTTTCATAAAATATGTTGGGAAACATTGAAAATATCGTATAAACATCCGCGGTACAGTGATTAGATTAATTCACAGTCGATTGTATGTTATACAATATCGAGTAAATTAGAGTTATGAATTCGATATAATTACAATTATAATATGTTATTTTATTATAAGCGTATATAGACTAATGAGAGACGAACAAACTGAACAATCACAATTTTTTAAAAAATATAATCTTTAAAATCATATTTAAAGATGTATGCAAGTATCAGTGTGTATAGTAGGTTCAGAGTGTGAAATACTAAATAATTGCCGTTTTTCTTTGTAATATACTATTATTTTATCATGTACAATATTTTGAATAAAACACGTGAATTATTTCTGCCTTTGAAAATTCTATCTGAAGTGATTGATTATTCAGCTTTCACCATGGCTTTATTGAAAAAGAATTCATGATAAATGTAATAAACCAAAAAAAGCAATTGAATATGACTGAACAAAACAATATTTAACAGTAATTGTTTGTTAAAATAAGTGCAAGAAACTAGAAAAGAATTGTATGTAGATAGGATATACATATGCAAAATCGGTGAAGTCGTGGGATGAAATATTGGGCTATACTACTTGCTAATGTTGGCTTTTACTGCTATCGTTACAATGGAGATAAAAACTATAATACTTATGCAGAATATTCCAGTTTCTTTCCATGGAAGGATGTGAACGTCTCACGAGTAAAATTAAGAAATTGTACAAAAATATTACATAAAATGTAAACATATTATATAAACACTGCACAAACATAAATTCCTAGGCGTCTTCTTAAAAAGTTAGAACAAAAATCCTATATCAATACCATTTATATTATATCCATCTTTTATAGCACTAATACTGTTTATGTTACTCGTTTGAATGCCACGTAATTTAATTTTAAAAAATTCGATCGAACATTTGAAATGTCTAAAAAGTATTGATTTTCCAAGCTGTTTCATTTTTAATAAATGATCCGTAATACTTTGAGAATATTATTTTATGGAAATAGCATTACACTTTACTGTATATAAAATATTATACTTTGCAGAAACATTTTCGAAATCAAAGTATTATTGTTTTTGTACTATAATATATAATACTATACTAACAATTACTTATACTATAATAACAATAAAAAAATAGAACGAAATAATAAATTTCCTTCCTCATAAGTGAACTATAGGACAATTTTGTTGAGAAAATTTGAATAAATTATAAATTATAAAAATCTAACAAATTCCAGAAAGTCGTGAGCGAAATTTAACTACTCTAACAGTTCTAAAAAATTGTAAACGGTGGTGGTTCTATTGATTTTGGACTAATCATTGGAAATTCGTTTCGCGGAAGGTTTCATTAATTTTATAAACTTTTTTCTTTCAGTGGAATAATTTCTTAGGGAGTTACGTTATCGACGAAGGAAGTTTTAGCTGAAAAGACTTAAATCAAAATGATTGGAGATATTTGGTGAATTTTAAACAGCAGGTTGCTCTACTTAATTTCTTTTCATCTCAATTCACGTTATTAACTTTCTCTCTTCCTGAATCTCCGGCGAGAAACTTCTTTCTCTAGTCTTAGTATTTATAAGAAAATTCACTTGCAAGTCCTATCTTTTCCTGGTGCTTTTGTCTAGGTATACTAAATTGTTTAATCAGAATAATTTTATTCCATTTAATCAGTTCACATAATTGTAATTAGTAAAATCGTATCAACTTTAAACAATTGATCTTTTTGTTATCTCATTGTTTTCTACATGTTAAAACTAAATTGATCTAATAAATATAAATTTTTCTGTCATATCTATTAAATCAATCTAATATCATGATAAATAAAAGATCATATATACTAAATACAATAGAGTGTAAAATTATCTATAGAATAATTGCCGAAGGGTTAAATCAACTAAGTATTGTTTTTATTGTTTCAAGAACCGTCGCCGCTGTACGACAACAATCACTACCATGAGGAATGCCTAAAATGTAATAGCTGTGGCCTGAATCTCACGGGACCCAACCAGAAACGGGCTAGGCGGTGAGTAGAAAATGTTAATACACGAAGAAAATTATAAAAATGTAGATGAACATATAATTAACACTTCCATGTTGCTTATAACGTCAATGCAGAAATTAAGCTATGAATTCATTATCCATCTCTTCCTTTTTTACATTGTTATTCCTTTTAAAGTTTCTTTACAATTGTCGAATAAAATTATGAAAGTTGTTTAGTAATTTAAAAATTGTAAATTAAAATTGTATCGCAACAATTGCCTGAGAATCCTAAAATTGTAAAAATCGTCGTTGTACGTAGTATACCATTATATAGATCGCGATTGTTATTTTAAGTTTATATGGAAAGGTAATTTTTATTTTGCAGGTGTTTCGCATATCAATTTTTCTAATAAAAACACTTGGATTCAGGTTGTCTATTTTCTAGCGGTTGGTCTAGGTTTAAAAGACCTCGGGATCGCTTCACTGCGGATTTTTCATCGTAAAACGCATTTCCACATGACGTGGAAAAACGTCATATCGTTGGAAATACGATTCGGTCGATCGGAATTGGAACGATCGTGATTCTCGAAATGCATCGCCGCATTTCTGGTGAACTGGATCGGGGAATCGATCCATAGAACGAAAATCGTATCGTATACGTTTTTATTGCATATAGGATAGAATAATTGAAGATATTCTACCACCTGAAAGAAATAAGAAATATATAGTAATAATATAAAGAAATAAATCTATATGATAATAAATTTTTATCATATCTTTTTATCGCTTAATTGTAATAAATATAATGTATGTATTAGTATTAAAATATTCGGAATGGTTTAATACGACAACAGAGAACGTGAATGAATTGTGAATATTATATATCAAAGTATATAGCTGCAGAAGCTATTAAATTTATAGAATGAAAAGATGTATAGTGTTCGTTTTACCATACGCCCCGAGGGAAGAACAGTTATTTTTATTACACATCGACCTATAAATATATACAATTTAGTTGAGATACTGAAACAAATATTTTACCAGCCGATATATCGTCAATATAGTAACGCAATATTGTATAGTAATAAAAAATGTAGTATAAGATTGAGACGAAAAATAACAAGTATTAATAATAATTTTTTCATACTTTTGATACGTCATGAGAAATTGTTTAATTGTACAATAACAGGATAAGTTTCAATAGTTTTCCGCTATTTAATCAGCGCAGGAATAAAAAGTTGTGACTCCATATAGAGACAAAAATATCAAACAATATGAGAATGAAATTGCAAGTGACACGTTTCTACATTTCATATGAAAATTCGAAAATTTACAGCTTTTTCTTCGAAACGTTCGACCCAGCAATCAATAAAAAATGTCAAAGCTTCAAAAATGTAGGAAACGTATACATAACCAGGATAAAATATTTCTGTCGAGGTTTCGACTTTTAAATCATATTTATAAAAATTCGCCGACTGTTAGCCAGCGTGAATATCTGTAGTCTAGATATAAATCATAAAAACCCAAAGATCCTTAGCAAAATTGCAAAAGAAAACAGAATTTGTTCATTTGAAAATCATTGAGTAACGATCGACTTTCAATCTCCAAACAAGATTTCGTTAAAAATCTGCTTGAACAAATATTATATACATAAACAGGTAAAGCGAAAGATGATATTGGAAATGAGGAAAAGATGTTCCATCAGCTCGTTATGCAGCATGTTCGACGTTCATTAATCAAAAACTGTGTTCTGTGTGGTACACTTACCCAAACGACGCGAAGGATCATCAATTTCTTCTGTTCCGTAGGTTCAAGAACCAAATACTTTGCGATCTTCACTTCGCTGACGTGGCGCTGATGGAGTGCTCGGACTTCATGCAGCAGTTGCGCAGCTTCAAACCACAAAGTTTAGGCTGCGCAGTTGCCCGAAGAAAATCATCGACAACCTTAATCTTCCCCTTACCACCGCAAGCTTGCTCAGGTACGGTTCATTAATTTATGAATCTTCTACATACAATGTTCCACGGTATAAGGTGTTAAGCAAGAAATAAGGTGTTAAGCATCTCGTTTTAATTCGAGACGGTCGATTTCGATATCTAACAGCGAACGAAGCCACCAGCTTGTATGCAAAAGCGCATAATCCAAGACAAGGGAAACCACCTGTAGCATCGACTCATACATATGCACGCTGGTACAAGTTGGCGATCTCTTTCCTTCCTCTCCACTTATTTTCGTCGACTTTCTTATGATGTTAACTAGAAAAGACAAATTAATTCGTCAGCTTTGGCGAATACCATATTTTGGACTGTAAATATTTATTTCTATAAGCCTTTTTAATTAAAGACTTGTCACAAATCGCGTTTCCTTGATTGAACTGATTTTTAAATTTAATAAAATCTCAATAACATTGTAAGAGATAGACGAAAGATAATAAATATTCATGAATCGACTGTAATGTAACAAGAATTGAAGAAAGAGAAGGAATTATTATCTTGTTATTTTATAGAACTTTGGTTGAGTAAACATTCGGATTCGATTTATAAAAAGTTTGCTTTAGACTATAGTGTTAAAAAATATGTTAAAAATTGTAGTTTCTTACGATGGATAGATCATGGAATCATCGAGAAAGATATTTCATAAATTTAATATATTTCGTAGCTGTTTTAATGAAGAGAGGTTGATTGCGAAAAGAAAAATTTTCTATCAAAGAGATTAATTTATAAAAGGCACAAAAATCATATTAAAACCTTATCACAGTAGTAAACATATTTCTATTTAATGGTACTGGAATATATCTCGACATATTTGAAGGAACGTGAGACGAATATACATGTTTTGCATTCTCGAATCATTTAAACAAATAAACATGTTTTGCAATATTGAGCCTCTTAATTCAACGAACGTGTTTCACATATTCAAGTTATTTGTTATTTCAAGGGACATGTTTGTCGTCGTGAGAGAAACAATCGTGTTATTTACTAATTCACAAAAGTAGAGATATTGTTCAGCTTTAGTTCGGTAGAAAATATTTAATAATGGTAAATATAATTCCACTTGAAGTTGCTTAAAAAGTTATTGTTTACGTATAATTTAATTATACACGATCTGAAAATTTTCAAATTTAATTTCAAACCTGCTATCATTTACTAAAATATGTAATTCCAAAGTTTATTTCAAATAAAATTTATCGCAATCTAAATATACAATCAATACATTTCACATGGTACCAGTATATATTATATTTGTTATTAGATTCACACAATAATTGATAAGGAATTTAAAAAAGAAATTTTTATTCAATTCCTGAAAATCTTCAATCTTTCAGCAATTTCAATCAACGCTTACAAAGAACGAGAATGGAATTTCGTTTCAAAAAATTTGCAATTTCAATATATTTCATGCATAAAAATAGCCATTGTAACATGACAATCGTGTATAATTTGCATCTTTCAACGGTTGAATAATAATGTTTGATATATTCCATAACATATCGCCCAATGTAATTAAGTGTACAACAAAATGCAACGAAAATGGCGAATCCGTTTCATCAACGATTGTCTTTCGCTTTTGGGAAGCTTAATAAAAGGGATACTACTATAATTTGACAAAATTATGAATAATTTAATATTCTATACGTTTACACAACACAGTAAATATTTTACAAATTTATTCTCGTATATATAACTCAATCGTTATTTAATTTGATACACTGAAACAAAATGACAACCGCAGCACCGTTCATGCACAAAATTAATAAGGTTCACGTAAATCCATGCAGATGCTACGTTAAAAATATTCTCTTGCAGTAACAAACATTCATTTTGCACGAATCATTCGACGAATCGTATCGAATGCAAAAGGTCAAATAAATGTTTATATGGAATTTCTATTAACAACAACGTAACAACAGTTCTACTATTATAGAATTTACTAAAAAGCCAAAAAAATCGATGTAACATTAATGATGTAATTAAAACATGTATGTGTGAGACAGTATAGGTAAATTTGTCTAGTTTTATTAAAAATAATATTCACACGAGGTATAAAAGCATTGGAGTTTTCGCTTCGTCTCATTTTCAACATTGCTATTTTCGGTGGATGTAGATTTTAAAGGGCACCCAAGTAAAATGAAAATATTACGAGTAATTTAACACGAGATATAAAAAGATTTGGAGTTTCGTTGCATCTCGTTTTCAACGTTACTGTTTTCGATAAAAAAAAAAAGGAAGATTCTGAAGGATAAGTAAAATAATATAATAATAAAAGTAAAATATAAGCAATATTATGAAATAAGATTCAACCGAGACATATTTCTACAAAGAGTTTCCAATTTCTATCTCATCTTATTCGTAACATTACTATTTCTGATGCAAGTAATAAGATTTTCAAACGTACTGGACTAAGGTATAAATATTCTATATCATTTCATAAGTATCAGGAGTGTTTCTATATCTCAATTCCCTCTGTTCTCTGCAATTGCTAAAACATCTACAAATACAACAAACATATAAGATACACATAAACCCGGAGATTGTAAGATTAAAAAGAAGAACGCGGCAAATACAAAGTTACAAACAAGAGAAAATTTTCAATCGATATTTGCCGCCAGAAAAAGCTTCCTCGCATACAAACAGCCTCGATCCATCAAAAATTTCATTCGACATCGTGATAACACTACCTTCATTCTTCAAAAAACCAGCGAAAGAAGCTCGCCGAACCTTTCCGCCTAAACTCATCTTCGATCGAAAGAAACCGAGAGTTTTCGCAGGAATCAACCCTCGATCGTTATTTTATCACTTCGAAGGGGATCTCGCGATCCTGTAACCGTAAGAAACGAACGAAGAAGAAGCGGCAAGAGGAGCAGCATCAGAAGGAGTGAAAAACTGGAACGTGCTATCCCCCCGTCCCCTCTCAAGTATCGACGATCGAATTTACGAAGCACTACAGACCATTAGTTCCTGCTGAGAGAAAGCTGAGATTAAAGGAGTGGTAAGACGACCAGAAGACGGGGATGCACCGGGGCCGGTTCACTTTAAGTTCGAATACCAAGCCTGTCTATAAACAGTTTGGTGTTCTACCTTACAGTGAGTCGACCGCGGTATCGTCGACGTTCTATAGGAAAAAATAAGAGAGAAAGATAAAGAGAGAGAGAGAGAGAGAATGGGAAGGAAAAAGGGCGAATCGACGAACGAGAAGCTGGCTGTTACGAAGGGGAAAACGCGTTATCGATGATACGTGTCTAAGTGGACGGATAGTCGACGTTGCACGTGGAAGGAGAAATCCCTGAAACAGGTCAGCCCCAGTAGCGAAGGTTCGATATAGGTCGGATTCGACTGTAAGAAGGACGGATCGGATTGCTTCCTTTAATGATTTCCTGGCCTCCATTTTCCTACTCGCGTTTCCACGTGGTTTGGAAAAATGTTCTGAAAGAGGGGGAGATCGTTTAGATCGATGAAGCTGTTGCTTCGTGATGGATGGAAAAGTTTCTATAGGCTTAATACGAATCGACGTTTTATTTGTGTGATACTTTAATAAAGATTTATTTGCGTACTATCATTGAAAAGAATATGGATATATCAGTCGGAAAAGGGATACTGTCTTCTAATTTTAGATTTTTCTTAGATTTTTGTACTAAATTGTCTACTTGTTTTGAGTAGTGTACGAATAAGTATGAGGTGTTTAGAAGGGAGTTAGGGTGTTCAGGTTAGAAAAGTTAGCGATATTTATAAGCTGTGTATAAAATACTTGAAGCATATTTTTCAGTTATAAACAATTTACCTTTATAGTAGAAACGCTCTATTAACTACATTGTTAGAGTGAGAAACAGGAAGCATGAATGAAATAGAGGCGAATTTTCGTGAAATTAAATTGTAACTGGAAAAGTAAGCCTCAAACGACATTTCTTATTCTATAAATTACCACGGAATTATCATTCATTTCTTTACGTGCAACTCAAAAAATATCTGCAACTGAGACTCGAAACGTCCACTTCAAACTGTCGAAAGTTTGAACTCTATTTGATGTCAATGCTAAAAACTCGATTAAGGTTGAGCTTTAAAGCTTCGAGCATTCAAATTTTATACATCACTATAGATAGATAGTATAGATCACAGTAAGCAGATCGACTGTAAAAAGAAGTTGGATTCATTGAAATTTCTGCCGCGTTTCGAGTGTTGTCTCAAAAAAGGAGGGCAACAGACTGAACTGATAATAATATTGAGAAATGAAATTTGCGGAGAAAATGGATTTCGAAGCGTGTGAAGTATCATACTTGCGTGTTGCTGGAATGGTTTTCGGTTTACTTGAGATCTTGAGGAAGGTTACGCTGACGACGTTGAGATTGATTGAAATTTTTGTTATCAAAGAGAAATTTACTTTGGATTAATTTTCTACGACGTGAAATGATATTTTAATCTAAGAAATTACTGCAAAAATTGTTATGAATATTATTATATCATTCTAGATATTATCAATATTTTGTCATTCCTAAAATTAACATTACAATTTACCAAGATCCATATAATATTATTCATAAAATTGATATATACGTTTCTAAAAATGATTATCCCCCCCCCCCACAGTATTTAGTTTACTCGTCATGTAATAAAAAGGCAATTAAGTTAATCCCAATTTAATCCTAAAAATCCCCAAACGGATTCAACCACTTTACAAACCCCTTCGGCTCAAACTAAATCACATCATTAAGTAGAATATTAAATATTTCCATAGATGAGTTCTGCAACGAGTTCCCTCACAATCTGGTACCTACACCTGGCTACTGGATCGAGTGCTCTAGACAGCAAATCACTTCTGACACGATCTGGGACGAGAGCGAGAGCGGAGAAGCGACTGACACTGAATTGGCTGAGGTTCAACAAGAGTCGGATACCGACGAAGTGCCCAGGAAGAAGACCACGATCGAGGAACAATGGGAAAAGAATCAAGGATTCGAGCTGACCTCTGTCGAACAAGAGACCTATGAAAAATATTTCTACGGAACTGAACATTGGAATTATTTTGCCAACGACGAAGATCTTGGCCCGGTGATACTAAGTATCAAGCAGGAAACATTGAATAGCCGGGATCAATTCAGAATTCTCGTCAGAGCCATCAGTTACACTGTACACGGGCTAATTCCTGCGAGCTGTGTATTTGCTGACAGGTATTTGGCGATATTTTGTATTTTTTGGAAGCATTTGCGAATAGTTTGCGTAGTTTTAGATTTTTAATTTTTGGCGATATTTACATGACATATTTGTAGTTTTTCGGGTTTCGAAATTCCTGTTTTTAAAAGTCATTCGAAGCACTGGTTTCAGGTTTATTCTGAAGAAATGAGCTAGAAGAGCCGTGATAAGTTGAAACAAAGCGCAATGTGTTATTACAAATACGATAAAAATTGCAAATATGTCATATTTTGTAATTGCTAACAGATACAGTGTTGGATAAAACACTGAAAATATATAAAATAAAATGGAAAGTTTAAAAAGTAAATTATATGGAGAAACGGTAACCACAGTAATATAATGACATGGATTATAAATTATTAAAATTTGAAAAAAAGATAAGTTAAATATCATTGTTAAAATGTAATATGTAAGTGGTTTGATTTATCGTGGACTAGTGTAACCGAATAGATCATTGATATAAGAAAGATTATAAGGATCTAGGAGTCTTTTTAAATAATATCTTGAAAAGTAAATGGATAGGACAATCTGAAACATCATAAATATCGATTAAATATTTCACAAAAAATTGTCAATGTAACTGTAGAATTAATTGGAACCTCTTGAAAATCCCAACTGCAAAAGGAATATTAAATGAAGTAGAAATGAGACAGTTTGGAAAGTTCTATAACGGGAATTAGGCATCAAACAAGTAGTACAAGTCAAACATTTTGCTTACAAGCGTAATATAGACGTATCCAGTGGCACAGTTTAGAGACTAAACAGTGTAAGTAAGCAATAGTAATATCCTAACTCTCACAGGAGCCTTTAATACCGCCTAATTAGGTTAAACTACATGGTAGAATCAAGGTGAAATTAATTCTACTCTTCGAGCTACGGAGAAATAACAAACTAATAGAATACACAAGCTTCGACTTGAACAAATCCTTCTTTTATCAAAATTTATCGTAACTACGCTATTTGATTGATCAGAAACATAATCCCATTCTTTCACTAAAATTATAAACAATTGAATAATATTAACAAATTTTAATTGTTTTCGCTTCTTCCATTTTTCTTTTATTTTCTCTTCACTTCATATCTGACGTGATTATAATAATATAAAAAAATAATTATAAAGTTATAAAAAATATTTTTGTCACGATGTTTTTGAAAACATTTCACATTTATTTAAATATTTTCATATTTATAAAATATATGCATACAGGGTAAGACCGAAAGTATTATATATGTGGGTGAAAGGTGATTCCTGAAAATAGATTGAAAGTGTAAAATAAAATTTGATCATGCAAGGTTTAATTTTCATGAAAATAGATTTTTAGGTAGCCGGATAAAATAAAGTACGCTTGATAAAATTCTCCTTTATGCTTCTTCAGTTTAATAACTCATAAAAGTCGCATAAGTGTTATATATAGAAACAATAAGCATTATAATGTCCTTCGACAAATCCTATTTTCACAAATATACATTTTTAATCGATCTCTCAAGATCGATTTTCTCGCAAAATCAAACTCGAGCGAAAGAATATTATTCTACGCTTTTAATTCAATTGCGCATACATGAATTACATATAACACTATACTCTTGAAGATATTTAAGATATATTACATTTGACCCAGCGCGAAAACCGCGAAATGTTGTTTGTAGTGTAAATAACACTTAACTCTATCTCTACGAAGAGTACATGTACACTTTTAAAAATCATTTGCTAAAAGCGATATACATTCTGTGTAAACTGAAGTCATTTTTATTCATGATATAAAATACAAAAATAAACTTCTTTTCCCTTAAAATATCATAGAAAAGTAGAACAGCTTTGAAACTTTAATTTCGAATAATAATTGCAAGTAAGACGGACTAAAAGTAGTCGCACTAAATTAAATTTGCTATAAGAAGAACATTCCCTGTATTTATTATGCTTGTCACCGTTTAGAATCTCTAAATTTTAGTAAAGCAACTTCCCGTCTATATTCCAAAAACCGCTTTCGGCTCTTAACTTCACGTAGCGAAAGAGTTAAATGTCGGTAGAATTCAATTAAAGACCATTCTTCTCGTAAAACGAATATTCACGAGTTTCTCATTTCTCACAGGTACAATCGCGAGGAAGTGGTCCGCAGCTTAGGCAAAGAGGTGAACGTGAATCCGCCATTAACGTTAGGTCAATTACCTGACACTCAGGATGAGCTGCTGAAGCTGGATCAGGTGTTCATAAAATCGGAGTTAAAAGTCGGCGTGCTGTACGTTCAAGAGGACCAGCGTACCGAGGAGGAGATATTGGACAACCACGAGAATTCGCCGCTTTTCGACGAATTCCTACAAATTCTCGGTGATAAAATTCGTCTGAAGGGTTTCGATAAGTACAAGGGCGGCTTGGATACGATTCACGACCTGACTGGATTGTACTCTGTGTACACGAATTGGCGAGGCATCGAGATCATGTACCACGTGTCCACATTCCTACCTAATGAGAAGCACGACGTGCAAAGGGTAAAATAAATTTTTTATCGTTGTTGACACGTTTACCAACGATAGCGTTTTAATCAATCTTTTCTTATCTTGCCTAAATTAAATAGCTAAATCGAAGGCTAATGCATTAAACGGAATGTCTTGGCTCTAAATTTTATTATACATTATTTTACTATTTATTAGTTATTATTGGACTGCTTAGTTATTATTATTCGGAAGATTTGAAAATGTAAAATCGCATAAAATGTAATAATATGAGAAAACATATAAACTATGCAAAATATAATGACTTTTATAGTATTTGGTAAGTAAAACAATTTTCAATTCTTTCAACTTTTAGACAATTTTTTAACCGCGTATAAGATTGTAAGAAAACTACAAGAATACTCTGATGATAGAGTTCGCAAATATTACTGTGGCGTAATAACTAATTTTCCATATAGATGGAGGACAATCATAAGTAACAATAGATATTAGGTACATTGAAGACTAATTAAACTCGGCTTTGTAACACATATCGCGTTACACGCATAGCAAGGATTATAATTCCAATTCAATAAAGGCAGATAGCATTCAGAATTTTGGTTGAATGAAATTCTCAGTTTCAAGTCCTCAAATTGAGAATTATTCATTGTTTAATTATTGACCTATTTATTTATTTATTATTTATTTATTATTTATTATTTATTTATTATTTATTTATCTATCTATTATTGACTTATTGACGTAATTAGCAATTTAGAACTATGTATAATATGTGATTCATGATGTATATGATACGAGTTCTGTATATAACATTACGTATATATCAATATCATATTATTTGACATGATATTAAACTATGTGCAGTTAATACTTATTACTATGAAAGCAATCATAAACAACAGAAATATTCAAAATTCAATTTCAAAAGTAAATAGGAATTTTTAATTTTTCAGAAATAAAATAACATATTATTGTTAGAAAAAAGAGTTAATTGAAAGTTAATTAAAAAGAATTAGTTCAAACAATGCTGTTTTCATGAACTTTGATTATATGAATAATGATAATTACAGGCTAATAGTTACTCTTATTATAATTATATTAAAAGAGATTGTATTGTTTAGGTACAAAAAAAACGACACATCGGTAACGACATAGTGTGTGTCGTGTTCTTGGAAGCAGACAAGACTCCGTTTAATCCAGCCTGTATGAAGTCCCATTTTCTCTACACGTTCATTCTAATTAGAGTTAGTCCACGAATAAAAAGGAAAGTCACCAGATATGAAGTATCAGTTGCCACTAGGGACGAGGTTGGAGCATACAAACCCTATCTTTGGGAACAAAATGTTTTTAAAAAGGGTAATAATACATAATATATGAATCTTTAAATATTCTAATTGGACACACTGTGAGCTTAAATTCAACATTTGTTTGTTATATAACTTGTAATCAGGGTCTAAGAAATGAAAAACTTTTTATTATTCAACTAGAAAATTGATTAAAATTCTGTTATTAATTTGAAAATATATTCAAAGTTTATTAGAGTACATTTGTATCGTTGTGAAAAATGCAAGAATTATTTTAGAAGGAAAGAAGAGAATCGGGAAAAGATTAGAAAAGGAATAGTTTGATTTCAAAATGAACCATCTAAAACGCAAGGTAGTAACTTGGAAATAAAACTAGCTCTTACTACTTTGAAGAAAGTTATCGGTGAGATGTAAAAGCAAATTTAACGATCTCTCGATGCAACAGGTCCCATGTTCCGCGAGTGGTTATTGACGAAAATTGTGAACGGAGAGCGAGCAAGTTATTCTGCACCAAAATTCGCGAAGATGCAAGAAAGAACGAGAACTCAGATGTTGGAAGATATCGTGGCCAACTTGGCTAATCATGCAGAAACCGGGCAGATTCCGAAACCATACAGGTGAACGAACATGAACGACAACGACCACAAAGAAATTAATTATATTTTAATTAAAATATTTTATTGTATTTAAAAAGAATAAACGAATCAATGAGAACGAAATTTAATACTTTAGACGCGGTTCGTGGAGACCAATTGGCCATATGAGACCATCTTCCCCACTTTTGGATTCTGTCAGAGATCAATTCGAAGATCACGATCAACTTGCCAAAGACTTCACTAAAGTATTTTTGAACAATGAAGAGAATACCACGTTAAATACGAACCTGTTTGATGTTTGTTTCCTGGTACATGGACCACAAAAGCAGAAAGTCCGATTCTTTGGCGTCAGAGCGATTTTGGCAGTTAGGAGCAGGTGATTAGTCAAAAAATTGATTTACGTTTTCGGGTAATTCAGAAAATAAAGAATAAAGAATGCAATCATACTTCGATCTTGATGGAAGTGAACGTTAAATTTGTTAAAAATATCTTTAATATAGTATTATAATAATTATTAATTTCGTTAAAAATACCAGCAACAAAAAATTGAACTATGAACAAATTGACATTAGTAAGAAGTAAAAATTGCTAACTTATTTGATTTCTTTAGAGTATTCCAAGAGATGTTGTATGGTATTCAAGCGGGTTTCGGAAGTCCACAAGTGCCGGTTGCTGAATTACTTGCCAGACCGGTACCAACCTTGTTGAGCCCACAGAAGCCACGAAGTTCTAACTTCCTTCAAGTTCCTGATGTCGAAAGTCCAAGGTTCGTATCTTGTGAATTATTTCTGTTAATCAGGATTATGCATTTTTTATCTTCAAGAGTCCAGTTTATATTCAATACGTGAATCAAAAAACATAAATAAAATCTATCATTGTTTGAGTGATTTCATGATATAATCTACGCAATATATGATGTATTAACCCATTCTTCGCTAATGATAAAACGATTGTTATAGTTTATTTTTGTGTAATTGTAATAGTAACTTTTTTCATTTTATTATTAATATTTTTTATTTTATTATTTTTAATATTAATACGATATTTCGTTTATAATCGTCTATATTGTATTTTGTGAATCAAAATAATGGCTTATTTTATTGTTCGTCAGTATTTTATTCGCAACTTCCTTTCCGTGTTAAAAATATTTAAAATATTATCTTCTCCCGTATCTCTTTAATTAGAATCCTTTTTGTAGCTGTAGTAATTAAAAATCTGAAATGAAGATTGCAGGAGAAGAACATGATGTAAGTATGATTCACATTTTTGTGTCTTGCTTAAAGGCGAATTTTTAAAGCAGAACTCGCACATTTAAAATAAAGCGAATCTTGTGAATTTATCGACCATCTTTATATTAAGTTCTTTTCTGAATGAATCACAAAAATCTAAAAAAAAGAAAGAAAAATGGATTTATAAAGTTTATTTCCTGGAATCTTCGAATATCAACCTAAAGAACTGTCTTTTCAGTTAAAAAGCACTTATTACTTGCACGAGAACAAATGTGTGCCAATCTAAATGTAATCGTTCCTAGTTTCAAAAAATTTCATTTTTCAGTCCAATTAATTGCATAATTAGTCCGTAAAATGGGTTAATACAAATGAAGCGAAACAAGATGCATAAACGATATAACTGGATTTATTTAGCGATTAAAAAAGCCGGGAGATTAACGGTGAGAGATTGAACTTGCCTTTGGTGTCGTTGTCGAATGATAGTATATATACTTATCTATATATTATATATTATATATCGTACATATTTAATCGTAATTATGTGTATTTTTTACGGCACTTCCATGTCTCCTATCCTCACACACACACACACATGAACACGTACACCTACAGAACATACACACAGCACCGCATGTTGATTATGAGTATTATTCACTTTCTTATTCGCTATATCTTTCTATTGTATTTGAATGATTAACTGTGTAGTATGTTTTACTATTCGAAACCAATCGATAAAAGAATAAAGAACAAAAAAAAAAAAAAAACAAAAGCACTGCAAGAGTAACTCGAAGTATCACACCAGTCACGCTAATTATTATTATATCTATCTTATTAGCTTCGGTCGAGATCGACGTATCGATTTTTCCCTTATTTTTTCCTTTATTTTATATCTTCCTGTGTTCTTGCGGCTGCTCTGTATGTCTTCTATCGAATTCTCGGTTCCTTTTTTTTCCAATCTAAACACTGACACTTTGTTTCCGAATTCTATTCGATTTGGTAATTTGGCTATCGGCATGCAGTGAACTTAAGTCGTCGTGTCTCGTGAACAATTTTTCTCCTCGAGTAACTGTAACAGCAAGCTCTGATTATCTCGCCTTTACTTCGGTATTTCTATATTCGCATTCACGTTTCCAATTTTTCCGATTTTGCGAACGAAGGAGACGAGCTTTCGTCGTTGTCTCGTATTGTTCGTTTTTTTCCTTATTGCTATTATTCGATGCATTCAGGAACTGTAAGATCTACTTGAAAAATCCGTCATCACCGATTTCCTTTTTATCGATTTCAATCTTCCTTTCTACTTTCCCTGCTGTCCTCTCTCCTTGATCAAAGATTCTTCTTCGAGAAGAATTTCCTCTCCGTACCCTGAGGTGCCGCTCTGCGGTTTCTGTGAGATACTGGCTCTGACTTGTTTAGACCTAAAAGCGTGCCCTCGTCACCGATGATGAAGCGAGCGTTCTCGAGGCTCGGCACGATCACGGCAGGCTGGGGACGGAGCATTAAGAAACACGGAAGCGGAAACACGCTGCAAAGCGAGGATCGGAAACGTTGGGCTAGTTCGCAGGATTGCAGCAGTACGTATATTATTGACTCTGTTAGACGACTAAATATCGTGCTTCGTTTATGGTTTTATACGTTTGGAAAGACTAGCTGTAAGAAAGATACTGTTAACGGAAAACGTAATTGGCGAAGTTGTAAAAGTTATTATCAGGTACTAAATTTTATGCATATTTCGAGAGACTAAACAACGATTTCAGGCATGTAGGTGAAGGAAGATACGGAAGTCGATTTAGCCTATTCAGGATGATGTGATGTCAACGAAGAATTATTTTGATATATGCTTTTGTTGTATATTTAAAAAGTTTGTGTATAGGATAGCGCGTTTGAGAAATATTTATTATGATTCTAATATTTGAATGTCTGTATAGATATTAAATATTATAAATACCTAATTTAAATAAATTTTATATTAATTAATTATATTGGCTCAAAGACTTGTTTAATCTAAGATACAAGGTAATACATGTTTCTATAAGACAGGTAGAGTCTTAACTGTTTAATTATGTCGTTACATTTCTTCCATCGATAATATACACGGTAAAATTAATTGTTAATAGATATAGAAGTATTAGATATGTATATCGGATGCGTAGAAATATTGGATTTGAATACGTGTATGTAAGAATTTTTGTTTCTGTGATTCGTTGTAAATTTTCAATTTAAAATTTTAGATAAAGAGGCGAAGGAAAAGGAGAAGGCAGCTCAACAGTTGGCGGTACCCAGACTCAGCGTGTGTGCGGATGCGCAGAAAGTTGATAGAGCAAAATTGGCACAAACGGAGGTAAATTTAATTAATTCGTAGTAACAATATTATTATTAATGATGTTCTATTACTGATATATTTAAACACTGACAAATACACTATTCGCGGTTATAACACAGTATGCTTATTTTTATTCCTGGCAAATGTTAATTTATTATATTTTCAATAACATTTCCTATTTTATCGTAAAACTTCTGTATCTAACTTTATTATACCATTCTCCTCTTGTTTCTTCAAGTTAATGATTTATTTACACATTATATTTGATACAGAATTTCTTCAACAGGTAAACAAACCAACCACACGTTACATCAATGTCAATTGTTATCATTATATTCCAATCGTCCAATTTATTTTCAATTTATTTTTTCTTCCTCCGTATATTTTATTTATTCAATGTTAATAACAAGATCTACGCTCTCTTACACTCTATATATCAGTATCAACATTCACCAATTAATATTTACAAGACTCTTTTAACACCTACCACACATGCAACACACATTCCATACAACACTCAAGAGAAACAAATAGAAAAGAAGTTACATACTTAAAATGTGCTTTAACGTTAAAAAATTAAAAACGAAAAGAAGAAAAAAGCTACAAGATTTTTAAATGAAATCACTCTAAAGTCAGAGAAAGATACGCCCTATAATCCACAATTTGTTTTAATTCGATGTCTCAATCCGTTTATGAGGTGCGAGGCTTCAAAGTATTGCGTATAGAACGTGCAGAAAGCTGAATGGCGATTGAAATTCTTAGAAACGTCGTGACCCACTTTTTTCCAAGAATTACGTATGTCGCGAGTAGTAGTAATAGTAGTAGTAGTAGTAGTAGTAGTAGTAGTAGTAGTAGTAGTAGTAGTAGTAGTAGTAGTAGTAGTAGTAGTAGTAGTAGTAGTAGTAGTAGTAGTAGTAGTAGTAGTAGTAGTAGTAGTAGTAGTAGTAGTAGTAGTAGTAGTAGTAGTAGTAGTAGTAGTAGTAGTAGTAGTAGTAGTAGTAGTAGTAGTAGTAGTAGTAGTAGTAGTAGTAGTAGTAGTAGTAGTAGTAGTAGTAGTAGTAGTAGTAGTAGTAGTAGTAGTAGTAGTAGTAGTAGTAGTAGTAGTAGTAGTAGTAGTAGTAGTAGTAGTAGTAGTAGTAGTAGTAGTAGTAGTAGTAGTAGTAGTAGTAGTAGTAGTAGTAGTAGTAGTAGTAGTAGTAGTAGTAGTAGTAGTAGTAGTAGTAGTAGTAGTAGTAGTAGTAGTAGTAGTAGTAGTAGTAGTAGTAGTAGTAGTAGTAGTAGTAGTAGTAGTAGTAGTAGTAGTAGTAGTAGTAGTAGTAGTAGTAGTAGTAGTAGTAGTAGTAGTAGTAGTAGTAGTAGTAGTAGTAGTAGTAGTAGTAGTAGTAGTAGTAGTAGTAGTAGTAGTAGTAGTAGTAGTAGTAGTAGTAGTAGTAGTAGTAGTAGTAGTAGTGGTAGTAGTAGTAGTAGTGGCGTAAAAAAAGCTGTGACTCAGCGTCCGTCACTGACCATTCGCACGTGCCACATGTGCGGTAGGTCAGCGAAGGCGTGCGAGTGAAAGAACCGAGTATGCGAATAAGATAGCAATAGCGAAATACTGGAAATTACGCTTTACTTTGAACGAGCATATCTTCGAAACGGGAAATCGTATCGAAATGAGACAAAAATCATTTTAAAGGATAAGATTTTAAGCTTCTAATAGTGTTAATTATAACAGTTTACTTCTGGTATGTACAGATATATTATATAATGAGGTTTGGAAGGAACTTTTCTTCATTAATTTTATATTAGTGTTATCGGTATTCTTTGATATTACAAGTACATGTTTAACAATGATATGATAAGGCTGTGATTGGTGTTTCTGAAGCAGAAATATTGTGAAAATTAAATGGAAGAAGAAATTGGAATTTTTTTAGAAGATAAATTCATCAAACTTAATAGAGAAGAGTAGGTATAATAATAGGATGAGTTGATAGAGGAGGAGAAATTAGCTTAATAATGCAAAAAAGATTAGAATCTATATTTTCATTCACTGTAAAGTAACAAGAGATAGAAGTAAACAATACATTCCATATTTCTCAAGATATTTGTCTCTGGAGATTAGAATGGAACATCTTGCACAAATAACTTTTTTAAACTACATGATAGACTAAACGATAAAAGTTGCTCCAAATAAAAGGCAAACATCTCCATATATCGATAATTTTCTTTTTTTATCATATAGTTCAATATCATCGAATTCGACCCGAAGACGTTCAAGATTCTGCTCAACTACCTACAGACAGGTTCTTGTCCACTGACATGCAGCAACATACCAGGCCTGATCTGTGCAGCGGAGCACTATGATCTACCAGAGCTTCTACAGGCGTGTTTCCATCACGCGAAACAATTTTTACGAATTGAAATTGTCTGCGTGATGCTGTGCGCGTTGGAAAACTACTGCTGGCGTTACACGTCTGCCTCGGAGCTAGTTAATATGATCCTCGCGTTCATCGAGACCAGAGCGTACCAGTTGTTCCAGAATCCTGATTTTCTCACATTAAGTGAGTCTATGGTTCAAATGATCATGTGCAGAGGTCTGGAAGTTGGCGAAATTAAGAAATTCGAGGCGATGCTCGAGTGGGCGAAGAATAGGATTAAAGACAGGAAATCGACCAAAGTAGACCCGAAAGTTGAGTTCAAGTGTATTATGGAGAGGCTCAGTAGAGACTTGAAGTTGTATAGAATAACGCCTCAAGAACTTATTAGGGTAAGTTTCATAGAAAATGTTTTTAACTCTTTCACAATGTAATACGAGAGAATCTTGAGCAAGCTATCGAACGTGGTACTATAAGAAAAAATTCAAACTAACAACTATTTTTAAGTCTCTCTTTATAAGTAATTTAACAAATCCACATTGATAAAATATAACAATAAAACTAATTTCTTCAACGGATCTTTCAGATTGTCTTGCCATCCAAAGCAATCAGAAACGAGAGAATCCTGGAAACTCTGATGTACCAAGCAAACTCTGGCATCTACAGGAACGTCGACAGCTATTTGGAAGCTTACCAGAAAAAGGTGCAAAATCAGGAGAGTTTCGACTGTGGCATGTAAAAGACTATTGCACATTGTGTACCAATTCCAAGCAACCCTTAACCTTCACCCTTATAAAAATGGAAATAACAACTCGTACCTGAGGAGAGTAAACTCTGAATAGTAGTTCGTCAATAAATGAGGGTGATCTTTCCGAGATTTTAGTCAAGAATTGTGTCGATCATGAACTTTGCTAGTTACTCGTAGAACTGTTCCTTAATTAAAAGCGAGAAAAAATTCAATGATTAACATGCGTTAAAAACAACAATAAATTATCTGCGACAGTTAATTATTTTTCTGGGAGATTCTCGAAATTGTTTCATCGAATAGTCAACTATTAACATGATCAAAATCACGCATAGAAAGTGTAGATGTTAATCGATGGAAATAATTTCAAAAATTGGAAAAATCGAATAATGTGAAAAGTAGTGAATCTAAGTTGTGACAGATTTACGATCGCTTTTCTATTACAAAATCTTGTTTTAGAAAGAAACATCTTGTTCTAGGAAGAAGATTGAAATGCACGATCTATACAATAGGAAGGGAAGTAATTATTTTCCTGGAAAAATCGTCAGGAAAGTAATAGACTTCGATACTACGCAAAGGAAGCTTAAGATGAGAGAAAAAGGGATGAGAAAATGGATTGTGAAAGTTCGTTGATTAAACGAGAAGATGGACTCCTAGTTTCAGTCATTATCAATCAACGGGAAGCAAGGGAAAATGCACAAATTTCATATTGTATAAGAATAGGACAAAGTGAAGGACGTTGAAAGTAACTTGGTGACGACATTGTTTCAAATGAAAAAGAAGACAGAATAAAATAGAAAGAAGGAAGATTCTTCAAAAAGAAGGGAAAGCGCCAGAGGTTGAAAGAAAGACGGCAATACCATGCCGATTATGACAATCTGTATCATAAAAAGAAAAATACAAACCAAAAAGAAAACTCGAAGACAGAGAAACGCTATTGATAATACGATATACATTATATAAACGTAACGATTAATTATTTGGTAAGCTTGAGTGAATTTAATTGTATGTATACATGCATAAACATGTGTGTGTATATATGTACGTATTAAGAGTGACATTAATGATAACAATAATACTAATAAATAATTATAAGAGAAATAATAATAGTAATAACAACAAGAAAAAGATAAATACATAAATAAATATGACGTTGATGTTGAATGTGAAATATAAATGGAAATGAAGAATAAGGAGCAAACTGAAACAGCAAAAGTATTCGAAGTCTGTTCTGTTTTCTATCGTAGTTTTTGTATCTTCAATACTCTAAGGCAGATATTCTAAAATTCACAGGAACAGGCTAGGAAGAAAAGAAATATAAAAATAAACAATTGTCTTGACAAAGATTTCTCTTTTCTTTTTTTCTTTATTCTAAATATCGATGTAAAAGCAAAATTTCTTTTAGTATATACAAACCAAGGAATAAAATTTGGTGTGTCCATTAATTTATAGCTCTCGCACAGTATGTGATAATAAAAGATCCCATCATCAGTCATTTTTTGGTAAACAAAAATCGTTCGATAATTTAGCCTGGCCTGGTTCCCAAGTTCCATTGACTGCATTTTCACGAGAAAAATCGAAAAGAGGAAAAAAAAGAGAAAAAAGGAGAGTACACATACACACATGAACACGAAGAAAAAGAAGAAACAAACGCGTGGTTTTATAATACACGCGGAAGAGGCTGATTTTCGTCCCCCTGACTCTGTCCCCGTTTCGCTTTCGCTCTCGCTTCTCGATTGTCCTCGACGCAACTTCTCTCGTAGGTTCCAAGAAGAAGAAATATTTTTTACACACTCGTCGACGATTTAATGCCGTTTTCGATCCCTCCCTCGTGTGTATTCTGTTTGTTATACGCAAATGTAACGTCGAGACACAATTGTTTAAGAGACGGAGAAAAAGAACAAAAGAAAACTAACAAAAAAAAAAAGGAAAAATAAAAAGGGAAAAAGGTGCAAAAAAAACATTCATCGATTCCCAGATATGGGGATCGTCCAACTGTTAAGTGTCTTATTGTTCAGGCAAGCGGCTGGACGAAAGTAGATCTTTTCTTCGCGTCGTCTCGCAGGTGAAACGAGACTATCGCTTGTAGAATACAAATCGACGCACCCTCGACACTGTAATCACATAAAATATGGTACATTTAAAATGACATAATGAAATGTGGATATGGATTCGATATGGATTTGAATTATTCGATCTAACACGTGGTAGAAAGATGGCCCTTTGTAATATTTTTACAGAATACTAGAGAAAACAAGAAGGTACAAATACCATATGTGACGTGCAGTGTACGAGCAGAGTCGTGAGACAGACTGTGTGTATGTGTGTGCGTATGTGTGTGTGTATGTATGTATATGTGAAAGAGAGTGTTAATAATTAAAATAAACTAACTAAATATGCAAACCGTACGTATAGCTGTAAAACAAGCTAAATAAAGAAAAGAATGAAAAAACGAGAAAAAAAAGATACATATATGTACGTAAAGAAACACGTCTCGTAAACGTGAACGTTTTTAAAGAAAATCGTATGGATGATCCGTGGACGATCCCTGGACGATGATCTGTCGCGATTCGCGCGTTTACATTTGATCGCGGCAATTAGATTTCGCGATCTTGGCCGTAAAAATTAACGTGCTATCTATTGGACGTCATTAAATTCTTTCCGACAGTTACGAAAACAAAAATGTTATATGGAAATATAAAAATGCAAAGGAAGTTTGAAACTGATGAATCCTTTCTTTTCGATCGGTCGCTGAAAAACAGGTAGAAAAAATTAATTACGTAACATAAGGTGTAAGAAGAACGAAAATGCTCTGATATGTGATCTTATTAAACTGAACTGTTCAGATAATTTTACGTTATTTATATTTTCTTACTAATTATAAATGAAACAAATCATCGCTTTCTACTAAATTTAAATAACAATTAAAACCGCAGACTTCTTTTGCGAAGTTATAGATTTGTCAATTCGCGGCAACATAACAAATTAATCAGACAAAATACGTTATTCATCGAAAATACGGATTATTGTGAGTTTAGCGATGATCTGGAATAACGTAGCGTCACGTAAGCGCTCCGTTTGCCAAATAAATGTAATACTACTATAAATGTCGCTATAAATGAATAATACCTATGTACCGTAATTTAGCATAAATCTCGGGCAGCTGTGTGATACTGCTTGATCCGTGATTTATCACTGATAGTCGTAAACGTTCTACTACGTGATATACAATTAATCGCTGGTCGATATACGTGAAACGTTATACATATATGTATATAATACGAGACTTGCAGTGCGTCGCTGGTCGATACAATTGGAACGCTGCATGTTAAACCATACTCGACGTTCAAGAAAAGTGCAACAATTTGTGATTCATAGTTCTTTGTTCATTACGTGGAATAACGCGATTCACAGATCATTGTTAATGAAACGAACGTTAAAGAAAACATTCCATAGATAGCGTGTTAGTAATGTATATGATAGCGTATAGTAATGTGTCACATATTTCGAGATTTCGTGTAAATTATGACAAGATCATCGTCTAAACTTCTAAACGTCACTGTGCTCTCACGTTGTCGTTCATCTTCGTAAGTGCGAACTATGGCGGATTTTCTGCGACACGTTATGTCCACGAAAAATATAGAAATTTGAGAAATTTCATTTAACGTATTGAGTTGGATTATATAGATAAGAAATATAAGAAATTATTGTTAAAGAGAATATTTGCAGAAACATTTGTGAAAGAACCGTGGACTGCGTGTCGTTGGAGATTCTGTGGCATATGTGTGTGTAAGCGTAGATGTTTTAGTGTGTGATCGGAGCGTAATTGATCGCAGCAATGATTCATTAATTGCTTCTGGTGGTTTGAGAAACACCAGAGGGCTCATTTGTCACGATGTGATGGAAAGCTCGGGGCGTAATTGACGCAGACTCGCGAAAAAGCGGTCTAAACGTTCACGATATTTTATATGGAACACTTTTACGCTTACAATTTAATATATTCCTTTTCTAGTTCTTCTTATCGAATTTAAAGTAAAGAACGAAACTTTTTAAAACTAGAAATTTTCTCATTTTAGCCAGATACAAATTTACCTTGAAAACCACTATTATTTATATCATATTCTTACGACAAATAAACTTATAAAATTAAGTAGTTTATTGTTTAAAAAATTGGACACTATCTATCTAGGTAAGGAAAATTACAGCGAGTCAGCGGTAAGATTACGCTTCCGTATGCCCACAATTTCTGCGATCCGATATGCGTGCACTGATGTACAAAGCGAATAGTTTACCCGCGCTCGATGACAGTCCAGTTGCGTTGTTCCGATGCAAACCGCGAGATAAAGGCAGAAAAGAGAGGCGAGACCAGAAAATTAGGAAGACCAGAAACGGCAACAAAAATGGGAACGAAACAGGATACCTCGTAACAGGCTCGATAGACGAAGAGGAACTGATTAGCAAAAACAAAAGTATTTTCATCGAAAGCGATTCTGTCCAGCCATTGCCAACTACTGTTCAACTGTAGATGTATTCAAAAAAAAAAAAAAAAAAAAAAAAATACAAAAAGAGAGAAGCAAAAGGGAAGAGAGGATTATCTTGGACAAAAGAGAAAAAAATACAAAGTATGAATGAAGGAAAAACTATATATATATATTCGTATATAAATATATATAATATATATACATATATGGCGTACACACACGCGCACACGTAACACATACACACACATGCACGATTAATGCAACACAGAAAGACGAGAATTATCGTGTGACAAAGATACCAAGAACCGCTACGTGGCCAGATCGCGGCGAGTATCGAATATGTCGCACTTTGAATTTGAATTTCAAGTATCTTGAAGAATTCTCGATTACGAGGCGCGTAGTCGACAACGAAGATGGTTGTTGTTTGTAATGATACAACGCTTATCGAGTATCCTTACGCGAGAATATATCGTAACAAGGACTGCATGCCGCGACGCGGTGATATTTTATCCCTTTTGCACTTGAACAAGACTTCGCATCAAGATGGAATGGAAATCACAGATTTCCAGATGTAAGACTGTGTTTTTATATTATACATATCAATTTTATGACATTTTTTAAGACTCGAAAGGAAATTCTGTTGCAATTGCATACAGTTCCGCCAGTTTCACTAGCAGTGATATATTTTGTTTCTCATTTGAATTTATTTTGCGGGAGGTGAGAATGTTGTATCAGCTTCTACTCAAAGTTATCTATCCTAAGTTATAGAAAACGTTGTTTCGAGATAAATATCTTTAAGAATAACTTGTTTTCAAATTAACTATAATTTAATATAAGAAAGTAAAAAAGCCAACCGATTTAATAGATTTTTGAAGCCGCATTAAGTTGTTGTAGAATTTATATCTACGAATTTTGAATCGTATTGTATATTCTGCGAGAAGAACTTTTATATCGAAGATATCTTCTCTTGGAAATTCTTGTTACTCGTGGATTATATTTAATTCAAGAAAAATTAAAAGTCTTTTACGACAATGAGATGTATCAAGAACAAGGTTGAGAAGTATACAATTTGATACTATAAAATACAATCATATCGAAACGTTACATACTCCGTTTCTATTTTGTTGAATTTTGAATTTTGTTAAATGTTATTTAGAAAAAAGAAACATATAGAACATACGTAAATATCACTAGATAATTAAATAATGGATTACACAGGGTTAATTAAATTTTAATACTTTCGTTTAACGATTCGATCTATCTTTTCCCGTACATACGTATAAACAAAGATTTTCAATATTTACAATACACGAAAGTGCAAAAGGGTTAAGTATTTCCCGACCACTATCAATGTTCTCATTGTCATCGTTCTAACGCTAATCACTGTTAAAAGATATTCACTGTCCATTTTTATCGACGACTCTCGTCGACATCGGACTCTCATTGTCATTGTTGTTGTTGTTATTGTTGTTATAAATCTATCCGCCAATTTCTACATCTATATACGATCACTGGTCCTGAACACTGAGTCGAACGAAGATTAACCGAGTGCTCGAGTACACGAAAATATCCTCAAAAGAATAATTTAAATACCTATCCGTCTGTTTAGAGATCTTTACTTTCCAAAAAAGTCACTAAATATCAAATATTAAATATCCCAACATTTTAAAATTATAATCATCCTAACAAATATTCAAATTACATGACTTCGATCTCGAAGTAACTATTTAATCCTTTCGCTACTGTAATTTCAAAATTGAAATCACTTTTAGTATAAAAGTCAAAGAATTAAAATGGCTTATTCCTGAAAGAAACTCTATTAAAAGAATTTTCATTTATGAGTGCATAGAGTAATGTGCTTTACAGATTTCTCTATCTATAATAATCATATAATCATAATATTTTCAAACGAAAAATTTATCTTCATTTACAATTTAATAACTGGTGGTATACGTACATAAAGCATTTGTAGCGAAAGGATTACACTAATCAATTGATCGACCAAACCAAGAAACACCGACAACCAATTCATAGTTTCTCATTTCTTTATTTCAATATTCCAATCGTGTTACATATTCGTCGAGTAGGTATTATTCAAACTCATATTTTCTTCCTCTCTTTTTTAAATTGTAATACTCACAATTTTACAGGTCCAGTAAAAATAGCGTTCTCGGGGTATCCGAGTCCTCGCCTAATGTTCATCAAGTGTTTCTCAAGTACCCGGATACTCTCGTTGTGTCTGCGGAACACGAATACAATCAACAGACACTGATAATGATTCGGTATGCGTGTTTTATGTATGCGTGTAATTATATATATATATATATTATTATATATGTGTGTGTTTTATGAATGTGAAGAAGAAACAATGAAAAAAAAAAAAAAAAAAGGAGTTTCGTCATGCGTTTATGATCGGTATTATGCGTTTATCGTTCAGATAAGATATAATATATCTATAGAAAGTCGAGTCGGTATTTTAATATATCGTAAGAGGCTCCGATCGCTTCGACGCAAATTCGTCATTTTATTCGTTTCTAACAATCACCGAGAACGGTTTTCGTTTGTTCGCTAGGCTCGAATATTATAATACTGCTTCGTGGGCGAGTCAGCAATATCATTCGGATTCCTGTCCTCTGCATACCCGCAATTTGTCGTATCCAGACGTATCGCTGTGTTCGCGTTTATTTGCGGATATACTTCGTATTCTCGTGTGGAAGAGAAAAAAGGAAATCAATCATGTATCTTTTCGAGAATATATGAAAAATACATACATACACGAGCGCGCGTGCGCGCGTACACACACACACATACACACACGAGGATCCGAATAATATTTGCGGTCCTAAGTTCGTACTGTTCGCCTAGTTATATGCGTGTTGTAATACGTAGACATACATCGTGCACATTAACGTTCACAAGATCCCTCTCCTTTTTTTTCCATCCTATTGCTGACAATGCGCGAAAAACCTATTAGCAAATTTTTGTAAATTGGCGAATGTTCGGGACTCGCTGTGTGTCACGTTGTCGCGTGGTGTTACGAATACAAAGGCAACTGAAATTATGATAAAAAAAGTTTATTGTATATGAAGCTACTGTGATGTTACTGTTGAATATAAAAAAAATATATATATACATAAAAAAGATGCTGTATTTAAAAATTGTACCTGGTGTGTGTTTTCTTATTTACACCTTCTTGCGATTCTGTGTATATGTGTTAATTGTGGAATAATTATAGAAAGATGAGAAGGTGGAAATGAAAGAGATTGTAAAGTGAAAAAATTGGAACATACTTCCTTTTTCTACTTTTCTTTCGTTTCACCTGCTCTAACTAATGGCATCGATCGACGCTATCAAAAATACACACTTTCAGAGAAAAATACTTTTTATTTCGCAGTTCATAGGTAACTCTTCGTTTTGGTAGAATAATCTCGAATCGGATTCAGACGGATAATTTACGCTCGAGCGTTTTCAACTTGATCAAACACAGCCGTTTATAATACAATGAGGAATGAAAACTCGTGTGTTTTTGTTCAATGCGATGTGATTATGAATGAATCCGATTTCTTTAAATGGATCTCTATTTTTCTCCCACCTTTCCTATTATTTTTCATTTATTTATTTATTTGTTTTCTTAACGACAGATTATCGATTACCATCCGTCCGTAATACGAGCACACGCAAATTTGAATATCGCCTAATATTTGTTTTAAAGGTGTGTGCACAATTGTGCGAATATTCGTATGCATACAATTTTTGCATTGTACCAATCAGTTTCACTGAGTTTCAATATGGTCACATACGCCAGCTTCGTCGCTTTACTTGAAGCTTCGAAATACTATAATTACATATATATATTCTTTTGTTTTAAAACTAGATATCGCTTTCGTATTTTAGCAGTGAATGAGGTGCACATTATAAAAACAGATTTATTTACAATTCTACAAGACCGATTTATATCCCTGTACAAGTCGTTGATTCGCAAATATGTATGCAAATGTTTTAAAAAATCCTAGTCACCATATTAAAACATTGCTTCTGACTCTAGATGTAAGCCAGTACATTATTTAACAGATACTTTTTTCTTATCACGTAAAATATTCGGTAAACATGGTTGTTCGGTATACTGCGTAACCGTGATACGCATGCAAACGTAAAAATTATTATTACTTCTGTGTTCTTTTTCGTTTTCATTTTGTCATTTTTAATCATTGCAGTCACGTGCAAAGCTTGACAGTCTTATTAAAAAACACAGACCATTATGGTCAGGTATATTATATACAGTTTTTGTATCTAGACTGAATAAATGATACAATGGTCACGCTTCCAGGGGATTCTGAAAATCACTTAGAGATGAATTAACACAATATTATTGTCGATTTTGAATGTCACTTCACCATTTTGCCCTAACACTCCAGTCTTTTGGTGTCCAATGAAGACACTTAGGATCTATCCTGATTTGCCTCTTTTCCATTGCAGCTGCGTGTTGCTCGATAATCTCCCTGTGAATAAACATGTTTTGTCAGTGACATATTGGAAGAAATCCTCTGTATTTGCAAAGAAGCGAAATATCTATACAAACGGTCTGCACGACCCGTTTTTTTTTCCTAACGACGCATTGACTATTTAGCCAATTACCTATTCAATGTAACAATATATTGTCCTTTGTAGTAATTAATGAGATTCAAGTTCTGAAGCGTCGATATCACATCTTCTTTCTTAATCGAGGTCAGCTCACATATTTCACTTATCGTAATCTGAGGCTTCTCATTTTCTACTAATGGCTTTATATTCAACAGAATATCCAATATGGTGTGTGCCCAGTAACTTCTATAAGATAGCAATCCCAAATCTGACAAAGGTTTTTCAGGTGAACCTGTTTTACCTTCGAATTTGGATAGCTCGTATGAGAATTCTATCAGTAATTTTCCATAGCCCCTTCTTTGATAGGGTGGTAGTGTAAGAATGCAAGCTACGTTATGATCCTCAGTCGATTCTTTCTCTTTTGAGAAATAACCAACTATATGGAATCCTCTACTGTCAAAATCTGTCATTACATAAAACAAGAAAGGATCCGTATCATAGTAAAGCGTTTTATGATCCAAAAATAATTTTGCTAGTAGACAAAGATTTTGTGCATAATTTTTGTTCTTTCGGCCGTCAATCTCGAAAAATGATATTGAGCCTTTTCTATATATCTCATTACCAGGCGGATGTCTCAAATTACATTTTGCCAAATGTCGCTCCAGACATTTTCGACTTTTTCTATACTTCAGGCAGAATTCACAGATATATATACATGGTAGGTTTACCATTTCTTGTGGATAAGGGCTAAAATACCAGGGTCTTATTCTGTGACGACCTAGTTCTATTAGTTCTACATTTTTCATTCTAGTAACTATATCATCGTGGTGATGCGCAACCAATGATCCAGTTGGCCTTGGACCAGGTGTCTGTGGTGGGCCATCCTGAGAATCCTCATTTTCTATAAATGTTGCCTTTCTCTTTCTAGACATTTTTTTTTGTAATGCGGCTTGTAGAACTGCAGAACCATTAACTGGTTCGTTACTAAGGCTGCTAGGACTAGGAGGTCTACTGGGTGCTTGTTTTTTAGGGGTTGCTGCACCAGTTCCTGGTGTGGTTCCATCTCGACGAGGGTATTGGACTTTCCGGGTGTCCAAACAATCTTCCGTAACCCATTCATCTAATCGTTTATTGACTAAAATATTGCACATTTAGTTAAATGGTTGTCTACGTACATACATACAACAGCTCTCTTCTTAATTCCCGTTATACTTACAATCTACATAGTGAACATAATAACACTTGACACCATGTACGTCTTTAACACTGATGATTTCAGCAAGAGCTGTGGATGACAAAAGGACAGTTTTGATAAACTCTCATTATTACACCTAAATAAATGGAGTCATAATGCACTCCTGAAGAAACAATAAAAAACCGAATGTACACAATCTGTTACTGTCTGAGATACCTAAACATAACCTAAAAGTTGAAATAAACATAATGTATGGTAAATGAACGCCAATATTTTATTAAATACATTTTTTATATTCGGGATACGATTTTAACGACATTAATCAATAGAAATATCCATGTGTCTATGAAATGGTTCGATAATGCGAACCAATGACACGCTTTCTAAATGATCTTTATTGTATAAAACGTCATACATGATTTAGAGAAAAAGATCACGATTTTCTCAAAACAGATCATCATATGACTAAAGAACAAGAATGCAAATAGATATTTTACTCACGCCAATCATCCGTCCCGTGCATTCTGACTGGTAAACGACAGCCTTCCACCAATGAATTCTGAAAGTAAGGTTAAGACCTTATAACATTCAAATATTCGTAATTACCGACTTCACACTAAGAAAATATTAACGTTATCGTGTTTAGTAGATCGTAATATTTACCACTGAGTCGCATATTGTTTCGCGCTCATCGTGTTCTTCAATCATTTTAATCACAATTGAAGAAACTTTCTACCGAATACGATTTTGTTTTGAAGTACTCACGACACTAGCGCGAGCGCTCCTCCATCGGCTTCGGACATAAGAAGAACTAAGTTCAAATCATTTCCCGCACTATCGAAACATTTCAATCGAAATATCTCCGTCGAATATCGAAATATTTATGATGCCCGCGAAATTCGTTCTAAACTCAAAGCACTACAAAATTAGTCGCTCTATTTATTTCATTACTTTTCATTAAAATAGTAACACGATATAATAGTGTATACAATAATAAAGAAATTATTATATAATTATTATACACGTATCACTATGTAAAATTATAGTAGATATTAATATAAATTATAATATAAATTATTAATTTTTCAGAAAAACACTTCTAATAATACCATAATGTAGCACAGACAGCAATGTAGAATATATTAGCGTAGTCTGTTTTGACAAAAATTTGACTCTTATACTCTTTTGCTATCCCAACAAAGATGTCATATTAAATTTATATCCAAAATGTAAATACCTCAAGTTTTGACAAATTCAAAATTAGATACGAAAACTAAGGGGTGTAAAGTATAATTTATTAATATCTGAGAGGGAGGTAAAAGGGAAGTATAATGGAAACTCGTACTCGTGAGTGACATCAAATAAAATCCCCTTTAATAATATGATGGGTCGTCGAGGTGCATATGCGACGTAATTAAGTAAGAATAATTCAAAGGAAGATACGGACGTGAGTAGCGGGGTTACAACGATACATCATGAAAGATGCTCGCACTTGCACGCAATTAATTCTGAAATGCATATCATTTGGAAACAGGTGAATTTAGAGTAACGCCGCACCGTTTCGCGCGTGTATTTCATACGAGTCTCTTTCGGCTGGCGTCTTCGTCGTTGCTTTTAAGGTTTGTAACGTAAAGCTATTTTAGTCACTCGAGACAATTTGAGGTGACATCTTATTCTACTCCGTCCGCTGTAAAATAGTAATATCTATACGTAGACACGGTAAGTTCCTTCCCACGTTCTCTGTCTATCCCTCTGAGACATAAATTTCGTATAAAATATTCCCAGCATGAAAATATTCTCTTCCCTGGTGAAGTGACATCTTATTCTATTCAATTCAGCGCACAAAACAATCCAGCGCCCGCGAGATTACGTAAATACCCTTTCCGTGTATCCGGCCACTAATGCGAAGTCATACTTGAAACATCGTTGAAATTTCCGATGTTACTTACCAAGCCATCACCTTTATTTCGATGACGTTATTTATACCGACTAATTACGGGCAATAAAGTCGACGTCTGTGAGGCTAATCGGGTTTCAAATAGACTCTCACTCGTTGTTCCAATATGTAGTGTTAAGGAATTACAGAATTTTTATATTATAACCATTTTATTGCCTTCTTTTTTAAAAGAAAATTCTTAATACATAAAAATGGTCGGTGATTATATTCTTTTTTCATATGTCAAAAATGATAAATTAATATACCTTAATTATTAAAAAATTCATAATCCAAATTTTTCTTCAAATTCCTTGAAACATCCTGGAAAACTTAAATTATAACTTCTAATTCAACAACGTCCTTATATGTATACATTTTTCCAAAACCGAGTATCAGCATCTTATCTATAATCAATTTATATTTAAATTTCCATCCAATCACATCTTCGTGA